ATCTAGGGGAATTACAATTACCAAACAGAACCTTTTCTAACGTTTCAACAGTGGTGTCCCTCTGCCGTTTTGAACTAAACCTGCAAACTGCTCTGGCGGCAACGCTGTGTCAACAGTTCTACGTGCTAAAACGTTAATAAAGTACAATTAGGTCTGCCACCCTGCAGGCTTCTAAAATCCTACCTTGTAATACGCATGTACGCAGCATCCAAATATAAATCACAAAAAATATTTGCTCAACTTATGTAGATTTTTAAAAATGAAACACTCTGTTACAAAGGTTACCTTTCAATCCAAGATTTCCTTTTGCCAACACATAACTAGAAAACTTGTCGCCCTGCAGACAGCACGCAGCAGCTGCAGCTACTGAGTGGAGGGACCACAGCAAGGGCCAGCACCCACTTCAGTGCGGGGAGCCAGCTCCACTCAGCTGGAGACAGCGGGCGGCTGCCGAGAACTCCTCCCAACTCCAGTCCAGGAACTTCACGGCAGCACTTGAAACCGGACCATGGGAATTGGCGAACACTAGAACAGGGCCTCCCTACCCTCCCTCTCTCCCAGCATAGGAAAGGCAGCTGATAAATGCTGACCCAGCATGTCACTGCAGGAACCCCGCTGCAGAGTCAGTAGTTTCCATGAGGTACTTGCAAATAAGCAACCATCAGTCCCACAAACACAGGGGAAGCACGTGGAATCTTTCCACCCAACTTTTATATATAATATGTTTCACAGTCATTTTGCATTCACTGTCAATTAGAAACATAATGTATCTCAAAAATCAAACATGGGACTCCTGCATGCTGTATCTATTTGAGGTTTCACTGTTCAGTTGTCATTATCAAAGTTTACACAGGTAATTACTGCTGCCATATTGCAAAATCAATTCATTCTTGAAACTTCTAATTATTCTTAAAAATCAAACATGGGACTCCTGCATGCTGTATCTATTTGAGGTTTCACTGTTCAGTTGTCATTATCAAAGTTTACACAGGTAATTACTGCTGCCATATTGCAAAATCAATTCATTCTTGAAACTTCTAATTATTCTTAAAAATCAAACATGGGACTCCTGCATGCTGTATCTATTTGAGGTTTCCTTATTCAGTTGTTATTATCAAAGTTTGCACAGGTAATTACTGCTGCCATATTGCAAAATCAATTCATTCCTGAAACTTCTAATTATTCTTGGCAGCAGAATAGGCTGTCTCCTGATGAACTCAGGATAAAGGCTGCATGAGGCAGCTAAGTCCAAAGTCAGAACCCCAGCCAACTGTGCAGCCTAAAGAAAAGAATTTATGACACTCACAGCTGTATAACCCAATTTTCCCAAATGTCACGGCAATTCTGAAGTGAACATCATTAATAATCAAGGTAAAGGAGTCAGATCCTCTAGGAACTAAACAGCTCCCAGTATTTTCCTTGCTTAGATCTCACTGCCAGGGAAATGTGGATTTGATGGAAGGCTGCCTCTGCTGTGTTCTCCAGCACCCTTCCAACACACATTCTACACACGTCCTATGAAACGCAGATGCACTGCTCTTCCAACACACTTTATACATGCATCCTATGAAACATAGAGTCCCCAGAGGAAAATGCACTGCTCGTCTAGCTCACGTTATACACATATTCTATGAAACGCAGATGCACCGCTCTTCCAACACACTTATACACACATCCTATGACACACTTATACATGCATCCCATGAAACACAGAGTACCCAGAGGAAAATGCACTGCTCTATTCCAACACACATTATACATGCATCCTATGAAACACAGAGTCCCCAGAGGAAAATGCACCACTTAGGCCAGGCCGTATCTTCACCATGGAGCCAAAGTTCCCACTCCTCCAGTTAAAGGGTTGGAAATACGAAAGCAACTGTAAGACTTCTCTGTTGCTAAGAGGATAACCTGCCTATAAAACTTTAGACAGGTTCCCTTTCAACTAGAAAACATTAAATCATTATGAAAGGAAGTTTGTGAAGAAGTCACTGCTCAAATAAGGTTTCCAACTCTGTCCAGGAATGGGCAGGCATCTTGGACTATTTTAACTGCACAAAGTCCTTGAGTTCCACCAGAAACTCAGCAGCCTGAATCCAGCGGCAAGTGGGCCTGCCTTCAGCCGAAATGTGGTGACAGGTCCAGGACGCTGTGCCCAAGGCCTGCCCTGTTTGGCGGTTCTTTTTATAGCCTGCTAATCCAAAAAGGGTGCTAAGGAGGGAACGCCCCAAGGACACCAATCCTAGTAAAAGATGGTGTTGGATTCAAGCCAGAGGCAGCTTCGAAAATCCCAGACACTAGTGACATCGCCCTTCCCCATAATGACCGTTTGTCACAGAGTTGCTCCACCTTCTTGTGGATCTCAGCTTCAAAACTCACGCCAGGCAGGTTGCAAACCAAAGGCCTATGAAAGGCCAATCGGGTCACCAAAGCAGGAAAAGGGAAGAACGCTTAGAGGTAAAGACAGACATAAACGTGTTTTGTGTTTTTTCAAAAGGCTGAAAAGCTACAGATGCATTCATGTGTGTGCCTTCATGAAAAGGATGGTCTCTTTGGTCACGTTCCCCTCCACCAATAAACACACTTGCTCAGAACAAACAGCCAAGGCCGTATGGAAAAGTAATCAATGGAATTCCCTCTGACGCTTCATGTCGCTGGCTAAAATCATCATAAGTAATCAAAATAGCAAGATAAAATGATAGTATATTTATCTTTCACAAACAGCCATGTTTAATTCAGAAATGTGGGATGTATAAAGTTAATGGAGTATAAAGCGTTTCCAAAATAAGTAAAAACCAAACAAGAAAATGTGATGATTCATCCCAAGGTTAATCTCCTTTCTACTGTGGTCAAGCACTCACAACACAGACTTCGCCATGACAATGACTCCTGAGGTTCAGTGGCATTCGCCACATTCTCACTACCAGGCAGCCGTGCCCACCCTTCACCTGCAGACTCGTTTCATCACCGCCATGGAAACTTGGTGCCCACTGCAAAGTCAATCTCCTTAATGAGAAGTTGTGAAAACTCTTCCCCAAAACCATTTAAGGTACAAGAAAATTACAGTCACCCTCAGGAGGACCATGCCACTGAAATGCAAAAGCAGTCAGTGAGAACCTCCGCCGTGTTGAGATCTGAAGACATTTCCAAACAAGATCTCCTAAATAATGAAGCAGCTTTGGGCATACTAGAGCACATTATGTAATAGAAACTAGAATTCTCCCAATCCTTCCATTCTGAATGGAGAAGACATTCCTTTCCTTACCCACACTGAATGTCAAAGCCCAGGGTCTTTCACAGCTGACATGACAGTGAAACATTCTGTAACATAAAAACAGTTTTGAGGAAATTGCCCAGCTAACATCCTCCACATTGAGGCCCCAGTGTAAGGCAGCTCTCTTGGTTCCACAGATGGATTACTTAGAGTCTCATGAAAAGCAAATAAAATGTCTCCAGTTGGCAATGTTTTCCAAATTAACTTAAAACCATTTACAGAACAAATTATAAAAAAAAACATGAAAAATTCATTTCCATACTTAATACCCACAGTACAGTAGTTAGCTTTTAATTTATTTTATCATTATTCCTGATGTTTCTCAGAATCAGAGAAATGATTCACCTGAATGCGGAAAATTAATTTCTCCCTAGAAATTCTACGATGCTGATGGTGATGGACAAATCACTGCAAAAATCTTTGTTTTTACACATGTGACTTTTTCATATATTTTCACTCATAACCAAGACTTTCAGAAAATTAAAAGAGGCTCAAAACTATTTGACACACTCAATGGGCTTCCGTGGAAGCCGTGAATGTGCTCAAACTCACAGCTGAGACACACTTGACTGGGTCAAAGAAAACAGGAACAGTTCCATCAGTATCACCAGTAATGTCATCCATCCCTGCTCACAGCTGAAAAATGAAGATTGTAGTTTTCTCAAAACACCTGGTATTCTACTCTGGAATGTATAATATAGACGTTGGCTACTGAGATACCATTCTTAGCAGTGAGTCAACAGCAAATCCCAACAAATTAAATTCTTCTGGTTACTATAGAAGCGTCTTTGTTATTAACCTGTTATAGCTAGAAAACAAGTAAGAAAATGGCAGCAAACCTCTGTTTCATACCCAACAAAAATATCCTGGAACACAAATACATATCTGACAGCACACGATTGATTTTAGAAATGAATAAACTGTAACAGAGCCCCTCACATGAAAGAGGTGCCTTCTCTATACTGTCCTCAGGACTTGCAATTTCTCTAATAAAAATAACTTAAATCAGAAATCTTGTGTAGGACAGTAACAAAAATGCAGATCCATATCCACAGGATAATAGGCCCTGACTCTTTTCTCCCCTTAATTGTATGATAACAAAGTTGTTTTTAGACCTTCTTTTTCTCTCTCATGTTTCCCTAAAAGTCATGCAAAACACTTCCTCACAACCACCAGCCACACACGCCTGTCCTTCCATGAGAAATTACAAGGGATGCATCTCCCACTTCAGAATACTCACATCATGTTTTATTCACGGAGGCCTTAAAGGGTTTAAGAACATAACGTCTAGCCAATTCCTACCCTGATCACAAAGAAAGGCCTTAACTGCAAATAGACTCCAAATATGTTTCACTCTAGTCAGTGATAATGGTGTTTTTTCCTTAATAAATAAGTATAATTAGCAAAAGAAACAAATTTGAAACCAACAAATTCAACTTTATAAGACAACCAGTTTCCCTTAAAAATCCAAGACAACAATCATCTATTAATAAATTGATTTTCATTGTCAAATAAAAACAGATATCTGGGCTCAGCTCATAACTCACTACAGAACTAAATATCCTATATTCACATCTTACAGTTAGTTAATATGCAATCTTGCACTAAAAACAACCCACAAAATAAAAATGTACAAAATGTCTAAATCAGGTAGTAATCACATTTCTCAATTTTGCCACTGATATGAAACCTATAATATCAAACCAGAAGAACGAAATGTATTTACCTGTATTCCTGTCTGGTAAGATACAGCAATGCTTCTGCAGAATGCCAGGCAAAACCTGTTTTAAAACAAATAAATAAAATACATTTGGTTATCACTCAGATAGAGAAAGGCATCTCATTAACTGTTGCTGTTTTTTCTAATAAGGTCATTCAATGTTGCACGAAGTCAGCGTGTCCAGAAAGGCCTAACAAATTAAACAGTACGGGAAAATCTGATGACATATATTTTTCATTGAAAAGGGTAATCAGGTGAGCGTGATGCTCACCGATGCCGCGGCTGGAACGTTAATGCAGGCTGGTTTAATGTACGCTCCTAATGGGCCCTCCGGGGATCCTGAAAGCTGCACTCAGGGGACTCCTACAATAAGGCAAATGGGCCCACCAATTTTTGTGATGGCTTTTAAAATATTCGGTGCAATTAGAGCCTGGAAATGGAGGGCTGCTGGAACATTATGTTGGGTCTTCTAGAATCTGAGCCCGCATGCTTCCATCAGGGGTGAGTCACGTAGGAAAATGTGAAAGTAAGGGCTGTATTTACATTCATACTTCAGTAGTGAAAGGTGAAGAAAATATCTTATTTGGGAAGTGAAGGAGAGGTGAAAATAACAGAGAATGGCTTTCCCAAGATTCAGCAACATAAAGCAAATTGCAAAGCACAGACTTGAGTAACGTGCAGCCGAAGAGACGTCCACGGGAAATGTACGATTATCTTTCTAAATCCAATTACAGGAAAAGCTAAACTTTCATCCTAAATACTCTACATGATGAAGCTGCAGCCGTTCCTCAGCCCTCCATGAAGACAGCTATCTACACACAAGCCTCTGCTTATTACCTGTTCCAGGGCAAGTTACTCAGGAGAGAGGGCGGACAGATGGTATTGTAAAGAAGCACCAATCTTAATGTCTGCCCTGGATCAACTTACAGTCTGGCTGAATATACAGCAGGCTCTCATAAATGCAATGGATGAAAGCACAAGGGATGGTCTAGAAAAACCATCCCCTTCTCCTCCATCCCCCTGACAATTCTATGTTGAAAAAAGAACAATCCTCTCTCAAACAGAATCACTTGCAAACAAGATAGAATTGCCAATTTTCAACTCTGTGCAAATTAACAGAGACAGAAAATAAAATAAAACAATAATCAGTTTTAGTTCCTAGCAAATACTATACAAAATGTGGAATTCAAAGTTCAGAAACATGCTTCTCATTTACCCAGAGCTGACTGCAGCTGAGGCAGAGAATAAAGCCCAGTGAGGCTATGGGGCACTGAGGTGCTAACCCTTGTGACAGCCACCGGTCAGGTGCCCACCCCGTGCCAGTGGAGGCTGTCAGTGTTTTTCATCAGTGGGTCTGAAGCTGTGGGTCATTTCTGACACTCGGCTTCCCTCATTAGCTCCCAGCCCCCACGCCCAACAATGCAAGAGCACGCACACACACTCGAAGTCCTGGGGTTGGATGCCTTCAAGAGCTCTGTGCAAATCTGCCTCTGTCTCATTCCACGGCCACAGCCTCTCACTCACCTTTTCCAGCACTTTCCAAAGGGCCTCAGGGATGAAGGCCAGGCCTCGGAACCTGCCCCCTCGGGAGGCATTCAGTGGCCCACTAAGTCTGAAAAGGCCGTCCCTCCACACCCCACGTGGAGATCGGAGACAAGTGTCCACAGGGACGAACTGCCACGTCCTGTCTTAAACTCAGGTGCCCACAGAATACTTTTCTGTGCTGACTCCCCATCAACGGCCAGAGGGAAAACGCTGACCTAGTCAGCTGCAAACGCCACTTAAGGGATCTCTCTCTGCACAACCTCCTCCTGGCTGAAATCACGAGCTGCTGCTGTGGAGTGCTGCTCCTAAGGAGAGGCTGTCCACGGGGGAGCCCCACACACGTCCACCGCGGAACCTGGCAGGTGAGCCCCATGCACGTCCACGGTGTAACCCAGCAGGTGAGCCCCACGCACGTCCACGGTGTAACCCAGCAGGTGAGCCCCATGCACGTCCACGGTGTAGCCCAGCAGGTGAGCCCCACGCACGTCCACAGTAGAACCCGGCGGGCGATCCCACAAACACAACACCCCACCCTGTGGCTCCCACAGAGCTTTCTCTGAACCCACCAGGCAGCTCTTTTTTTGTGAGGATCCCAGATAAACCATCAGCCGTGCAGGGTGGAATCTGCTTTTGAGTTCCCTAAAGGCAGGCAGTCAGCATTTGAAAATGGTGCTTGTATCTAAGGCTGACAATGCCCTCCTCGCCACAGCCACGGGCAGGACTGCGCATTAAATCCAGACCAGCTGCGGCCTCTGCAAGGCCAAGCACAGGCTGCTTCCCCCACGGGCTCTGGCTCAAGGGAGCAGGAAGGCAGGAACATAATGGGGTTATTTCTTCCTCCCTGAAGGATTTACAGAGGGCCGCAGAGGACAATGAAATTATACTTCTTGCCCAAAGGCACTTTTAAAAGTTCAATTCCACACAACCTGCTTGTTCTATGGCAGCATTTAGCAGCTGAGAAAGAGCGGGAGGCGTGAGCTCTTCCTGCCACGGGGCCAGGGTTACAAAATACACTCAGCGCTCACCCTGAGGCGTCTGTCCACACTGGCCCAGCTGTGAGCACTGACACGCATTCCTGAAACACTGATTTCTAATCCCTCTGTGGCACCAGCCTGAGCGGGGTCCTCCTCGTCTGAGGAAAGCAGAATCAGAGGGTGTGGAGAGGGGGCACCTCGAGTCAGGGGACGCGCATGATGGAATTTTTTTTTTAAGACAGAGTCTTGCTCTGTTGCCCAGGCTGGAGTGCAATGGCACTATCTCAGCTAACTGCAACCTCTGCCTCCCGGGTTCAAGTGATTCCCCTACTTCAGCCTCCCAAGTAGTTGGGACTACAAGTGCCCAACACCACACTGGCTAATTTTTATATTTTTAGTAGAGACAGGTTTCACCATGTTGGCTAGGCTGGTCTCGAACTCCTGACTTCAAGCAATCCACCGGCCTCGGCCTCTCAAAGTGCTGGGATTACAGGTGTGAGCCACCGAGCTCAGCCAGTGATATAATTTTAAATAACGAACATCAGTTAAAACCTGAAAGCCGGGTGCCAGGTTGCACTGTCCACACACCACATGCTCATAGTGCCGGTGGCCTCGTCACACATTGCGGATGTCACGCACTCAACTGATTTTCACATGAAGAAACTTGACCCCAGCCAGGATCCAGACACCACACCAGCATCCCCTCTCTCCGCTCAGGGCCTGGACCACATCTGTCCCCTGCGTCCAGAGGCCCAGGCCCAGCCACGCGTCTTCCTGACTCCTTCTGTGAGGCTCCATCCCCCAGGGGAACACAGGGTCACTGACGGTGTGGCGTCCGAGCTGGGGAAATGCTCTGGTGGAACGCATAGGTCTCCTGTGGCTGCTGACAAGCACCATGAACCAGACGACTTAAAACAACAGAAATGCGCCAGTTCAGCTTCCCCCAACACTGTTTCCAAATATGGTCGTGTCCAGAGAGCTGGGCTCCATCACACACTTATGGGAGACACAATTCAGCCATAACATCTGGTAAAACGTGCAGCCAGGGATGTGGGCAGGAGAGCACACCGTCCTCCCTGGCCATGGGCTGTCACTGCCACATGCTGTCATCACCATGGGCTGTCACTACCACATGCTGTCATTGCCACGTGCTGTCATCACCACATGCTGTCATTGCCACGTGTTGTCATTGCCACGTGTTGTCACCACCATGTGCTGTCATCATTGTCATGTGCTGTCACCACCACATGCTGTCACTGCCACTTGCTGTCACCGCCATGGGCTGTCATCGCCATGTGCTGTCATCATCACCACATGCTGTCGTCACCACGTGCTGTCATCATCACCACATGCTGTCGTCACCACGTGCTGTCATCATTGCCACATGCTGTCACCGCCATGGGCTGTCATCGCCACGTGCTGTCACCGCCATGGGCTGTCATCACCACGTGCTGTCATCGCCATGCACTGTCATCGCCACGTCCTGTCACCGCCATGGGCTGTCATCACCACGTGCTGTCACCGCCATGGGCTGTCATCACCACGTGCTGTCACCGCCATGGGCTTTCATCGCCACGTGCTGTCACCGCCATGGGCTGTCATCACCACGTGCTGTCACCGCCATGGGCTGTCATCACCACGTGCTGTCATCACCATGCACTGTCATTGCCATGTGCTGTCACCGCCACATGTTGTCACCACCATGGGCTATCATTGCCACATGCTGTCACCGCCATGGGCTGTCATCGCCATGTGTTGTCATCACCATGCACTGTCATCACCACGTGCTGTCATCACCACGTGTTGTCACCACATGCTGTCATCACCATGCACTGTCATTGCCACGGGCTGTCAGTCATTGAGGCTGTTTCTGCTAGCTCTCCCTCTCCACTGGTCAAACAGTTCCAAATTCCAGTCCAAACCGTCCTGTGCAACTTTATTCAACATATGCTTCCGTACTGCTCTCCCCTGAACACCCACCCAGCATTTCCTGAGCCCTGGAAACGCACGTCTCACTGTGATGATTTAACTTTCCACTCCTCTCTTGATGTCCTGCCTGTACTCCCACCTCTGCCCTCACATTCAAGGGGCCATCCTCTCTACAAACTCAGATGTGTTTCCACACTTTCTTTGTTTCTTAGGAGATAAACACTTTACTTTTATTAATAAAGAGATTCACAGTTAACTTTCTTTGGAAGAAATTCAGATAATATAAAAATAGATGGATTTGTGCAGTGGATGACTCCACTGCTGTTTAGGCCTTTGAACCTACTTTTTGCTCGATACGGGGCCTTGCTCCGCTGCCCAGGCTGGAGAGCAATGGTATGATCCTAGCTCACTGCAGCCTCAACCTCCTGGGCTCAGTTCAAGCAGTCCTCCCACATCTGCCTCCGGAGTAGCTGTGACTACAGGCACACACCACCATGCCCAGCTAATTGAAAAAATAAATTTAAAGAGATGGGGTCTTGCTAGGTTGCCCAGGCTGGTCTCAAACTCCTGGCCTCAAGTGATCCTCCTGCCTCAGCCTCCTAAAGTGCTAGGA